TGAAGCCTATCTTCACTGCCAGGAGAGAGAATGAGTGATTATTTCAAGTCCTGTAACAAAGTAGAGCACCACAAGGAGATTACCGTCCTCAAGATAGGCTTCCTAGCTGTGGGAACATGATTTCAGACAAATTCAAGGATTTCATTAACTGGTAAAGGGCATATCATGCTACATGGATATCTTAGCAACAAGAATATTAAGTAAGAAGCATGAACACTATTTATTTTTCTTTCCTTTACTCTGTCTGAGACTATTTGCATTTTTTTCTTCTGAATCCACAAGCATTTCATAAAAAGGGTGATAGACCATTTTAATGAATAAAAAATTATTGAAAAAATTGTAACTTCACTGAGATCTGCTGAGCCCATATGACACTTTCATTGCCCCAGCCCCTAATTAAAAGCAGCTTTTCTTTGTGGAAAATGTGATTCTAGTTTCTTCACAAATTTTCCTACAGAAAGGACTGGGAGTGGGGGGAGAAAGCCTCAGAAAAGAGATTTCCAGATATACTCTGCCTACAAGACAGCACCATCCTGGGTCTGCACACAGGCACTGAAGGAGGTGTGAGAGCTGTGAGCAGTGGGGCTGTTCTGCTGCCATAGCTGTGTGCACTCAGGGCAACCCTTTCCCTGGGGAATTCCAGGTGGAGCTGAACTACCAGGACAGGCAGGACATCAGGACAGACATTAACACCACATCCATAAAGATGCATAAGCACAAAAAAACCACTGAAGAAACAAACCTAAATCAAGCTGACAGTAAGATAGTTTGGTCAAATAGGTATAGAATCATAGAGTGATTTAGATTGGAACACATCTTTAGGATCACCTAGTTCCAAGAGCTCTGTCATGGGCACGGAACCTTCCACTACACCAGGTAGCTCAGAGCCTCATCCCACCTGGCATTGAGCACTTCCAAGCACAGGACACCTACAACTTCTCTGAAGCCTTCTCTTCTCCAGGCTGAACAGCCACAACCTTCTCTGTCTTCACAGCAGAGGTGTTGCAGTGTTTTGATCAGCTTAGTGACCCTCTTCTGGGCTCATTCCACTGCTACAGAAATCAAAACAGAACCACTAAGAAGAATATACCGGCTGTTGGCAACAGTGCAGGGAGTATAAGAAAAAACTGTTTTGTCAAAGGTTTTGAATTCATTAAAGTGTAGATTTGCTGGAACTAACACTGCTAGAGAAAGTACAGGGCTTGGAAACAATATCACTTCTACTAATGGGTCAGATAGTAAGTTAGCTAGGGCAGAACATGATGTAAATTATGGATATTGCTTCATACACTTGACCTGAAGTGGTTATTATTATTCCTGAGTATCACTATACAGGCAGTGTGGTGCCCTGTAGAGCGTCTTGTCATGTTTAAATAGGTAAGCAATTCTGGGTAAAAAAAATGCAATCATAGAGGAGACTTTCAGTCAAGAGAAAAAGATTAACTTGCCGACTTTAACAATGTCATGGATTCTCAGCTATGCTTGATAAAAGAGGGATATCAGCTGTTTAACAATCAACACAGAAATGTAGATGTTACAGTAATCTGACTCCAGGTAGGCAATGAAAATAGTTGCAATGTGATATCAGCAAATAGTTCTTCCAGGCTGGAAAAGGGAACAGCACCTACTTATAGCAAACACTGGAAACCATTTGGGTGAAGCAAGGGTGACTGAAAATCCCTCCCATGACACAGGATTTGTACTGGACAAACAAACATGCAAATTAGTTTGCTAGTTATCTTCCGAATTTTTTCCTCAATGTTTGTGTTTCTTCCTCCAGGTGTCATACACGCTGCTGTGGTCACTGGAATCTATGCATGATTGTTGTGGTGGTGTTTTTCCCTCAAAATGTTGATGAATAGTGGTAGCACACTAGAATCTTGAGAAAAAAAAACAAACCAGAAAATGCCAGAGAACAGTATGGAGCAGGGAGAATCACACCTGAGGCTAAATTTGTAACTATGCTGGCAGCATCTGAAAAGGACTTTTCTTCCTGCAGAGCCAGCTGTGTTATAAAACCCCACAGCCTTTTGATAGATCCAGCATACCAGCCTCCAATCATGCTGGCAGACATGTCAGAAACATCTGGGTATTTTTCAGTTCTGGAGTCTCTCACTTTGCTTTAATACTTTTCTTTACAGGACAACTGTATGTACCCTGGGCTGAGATGATAACATATCTGTGTTGACAACTCTGATTTCAAAATTACCTAATATGTAATAAAGACTTCTGCAAAAAGTACTAGATGCTTGTGGTTTGATTAGTGATTGGCCATGGCTGCAGTACGCTCATGGTGACCTGTTCTCAGCTTCTCATACTTGTAAATATCTTTGTTTCTGTACACAGTATTCCATTCAATACTCTTTGCAATGTGTTCTGACAAGTCAGGGAAGCAAATGACTATTTTATTATGCCAGCTGCAGTTTCAGACAGGACAGCTGAGAGGTGTGTTCCTCCCTTTTTTCAGAGGAAAAGAACACAATTTTTACTGGACCAGGAAATGTCAGTGGGAAGTCTTAGAGAAATCTTGGATTAGGAAGAATTGCCATCAGACTTTCAAGTGCAGTGATGCTTTTTACATTGTATTAGAGGCTCTCAACATTGAGAAAAAGACAATGTGTTTTACATATTCCTTTACAGTCTTCTGTCACAATGAATGAACTGACTGTGTAGTGGCTAAAAGCCTACATTGTTTAGTACCACACAATAATGCAATTTAGGCCTGCTACTATAGTCTGAAAAGAAATTTCACCAACTTTCCCAGGACCTTGAAGAATATTAAAACTGTTGCAAATGGCCATGTACATGCAGTAAAGAAGCTTAACATCCAATCAATATTGATTTATTTTGTGAAGGTCACTGGAGCAACATAACTGTTTTTTATTCTACTTCATAAGTAGAGCTGGTTCTGGGAGAGAGCATCAAGATGGAACAAATTAGCCTAAGTCAGAATACTTAAGATTTTCTCTTTATTAAATAGTTCCCAGACGTGGAGTTGGTGCACTGCATCAAAGGTGTAGAATACAGAGCACTTGGCAGCAGCAGCTCTTGAGCCTAATAGAAGTTTGTCCTGGGATGTGTCACATCACTCAGATTAACTGGGGTTTGACAGAAACTCATCTTGGGCATCAGTCTGCATGTGTTCTAGAACTGTTGCATAGGATAGTACTGACTATTTGAAGGACCATTTTATAAGGATATCCACATTATGCTGAGTTGGTAAAAGAGCAGTACAGTCAGTGAAAGTTAAAAACTATTTCATCATATCCTGTGCCCCTGTTTCCATCATATAATGCCCCTATCCAGCAAATGGAATACCTTGATGCTCTAGTATCCCTTTGTGATTTTACATATCAACATTTGCCATATGTAAGCTTAATATCTCTTTGGGGAAGGTTTAGTCTTTCCTTAAACCTTGTACACGGTACCTAAAAGGATAATATTTTTTTTACTGGATCTTCAAGATATTTTGCTGTATGATTAGAACTGCAAATAATATCAATAAATGCATATATGCCTGTGAATATTCACTTTGGAGGATATGTATTTGTCCTTTGTTTAAAGTAGAAATTAATTTCCAAGTACAATAACATAATTATTGTTATAATTTAATTAGTAGTATTGTCACATAATTCTTTTTTTAAAAATAAATTACTATGCTATTATTGAGTAAAGAACATAGCTAAACATGCATATATATTGTAAAGAATCTTTAAAAATATTTTTTTCATATGAGATGAACACAGAGGTACAGAAAATACTTTTGTTAGAAAGGCAGGATTTTCTCATCAATCACACTAAAAGAACAGCAAAAATAAATGGTTTCGAGATCAGATTTCTGAATGGGTTATTCCTATGCTGGGTTTCTATACTAGGTTGTTTCCACAAGTTCTCTGGAGCAGAATAAGACTTGATTTTCAGCTAAAAAGGATTGTTTGTCAGAAATTACAGTTCTCAACACTTTTAAAAATATACTTTTAAGAAAATACCTAATCTGCAAAGCAAAAATTATACCATGTGCATTGTCTTTAAATGCTTGCTACTGAGGCCAGTCTTAAAATGTTAGCAATAGATGCAAGATATCAATGAGCAACTAATTGCTTCTATCTAGAAATGCAAGAAGATTAAAATAATGACTGATGTATTGTCTGTTGTGCTGGCTAGCAGAAATAAGAATGTCATACTGTCTCATGAATAGTTGACTCTAATATTCAAGTTATTTATTGAAATGTCAATATTAAAAAATAGGAAAAATAAACTAGATTTGATAATAGCAACCATATTTCATAAAAAGTTGCCTTCTGATATCTCCCCTGTGAATTATTAATGTATTGTGTTCTAATAATCTGGACTTCTCTAAAATCCAGAATTATTGTGTGCATGTATGATTTAGCAGGTAGCTGATTACTTCTCAGAGTTGATTGTATTTGCTTAAATGACACAATTATGCAAATGTTTTCCTAGTTCAGTAAATAACTGGGAGGGGACATAACTCTTAATTTCTTAAGTTTCTCTTTATCACCATTGCATTAACTAGCCATTCAAATTTTTATGAAGTACCTAATCCATGAACTATGCAATCATTACTATTCTTGGTGTATCTCTCTGCAAACTAAAATTAACTAAATATTTAATGTCAATCCCAAAGCTGCTGAAAGAAATAGTATCAAATCTAGAAATGGAATAAAACAGCAGAAAACTGGGCCTTTGAGAGAACAAAATTTCATCTTGTTCTCTTATCCCTGGATTTGAGTTGGATTCATTTATTCCAGTTCTGAAATTCATTGAATGAATCCCTACAGTGGTATATATTCAGTATACTGCTTTGGATGTTAAGCCTCATATACTTTTTGTCTAAAAAGTATTAGTCTTCAAAAGATGACAGTAATTTATGGGTTATTTGCATGTTAAGTGGTTGTTCACCACGAGTCACTATCTGAAATGTCAGTGGCAGTTATGATAACAAAATCATGCAGCTCATGATTTTATTAGCATATGCATTTGGCCAACTGCACCCAAATTCATTGTGTTAGCTACAATATAACAAAATAAGGACACATAACTTGTCTATAGGAATAATGTTAGTAGGGTAGGCATTGTCACATTGGACAAGAAAGATGGGGTAGGCAGGAAATTTCTCTGGAAAATTTAGGATCTTACACCGATGATTTTCAATATATTCTCATTATGAATTTATAGGACATGTTTCAGGTCCACACAAAATCCCTTCTGAAAGAAAAACCTTTTCGGCTGTAGAAAAGATACAAGCAAAGAAAAAAAAAAATTAAAGTCAAATAAAGCTGTTACTTCTTGATTTATGAGTTAGAACAAGTTTCATTCCAGCAAAACTTGTATCTTAGCACTCTCACAGTACAAGAGTGACACGGCAATATCTTTATATGATAACAGCTTGAAGTAGTCGGAAGCAAACCATGATGTCCAATGGGATTGGAGGTTGAATTTCGTTTCCATCCAGACGAAGGTATCGGAGGCGAGGGATGTTGCCATAGTAACCATAATCTTCTTCCAGGGCGATGGAAACTGGGCATATTTGAGTACCATTGACACCTGAAAATGTAAGTCAACATGTTAGGTTATTTCCATGGGAAAAGTTCATGAAGATCAAATTCACTTAGGACACAAATAAAGTAAACTTCCACTGATGCTATCATGGGAGGCTGCTGGTTTTGTTACCGTTTAAATACCTTGTTGATTCAAAACAAGCATCTTCATATAATGTGATGTGGATCAGTGAATCACATATTTAGTGTGCTGCAATTATGAAAAAAGGCCATTACATGCATAATTTATTCTTGGACAAAGAGGATACTAAGTTAGACAGCTGCATGGTAAGCATTGAGAAATAGCTCTTTACACTCTGAGTGAGCAAGACAAGATTACTTCTGAGGGGTTTTGCACATCTTATTTCAATGACAGTACATTAATTTTTTGGCTGATAATATTCCTTAATGAAGATCTTGCATTCAAAACAATAGTAATATTGAATCAGAGGAACTTTTTATAGTGTTTTTTTAATTTTTAACATCTGTACTTTTCTGTTCTCTCACATAATTAAGTGGAGTTGGTTTTAATTACAAGAATATAACTTGTGCAATGGGATATTTTTCTTCCTAATCTGAAAGCTAACAAATCCTCAAAATTCTATATACATCACACATAATATTTTTCTGTACAGATAAAATTTGAAACTATGGTTTCAATTATTATCCATATTCATATAAGTTGAACAGCTTGGGCTTTATGTTTCCTCTAGGTTACCTCTGCACTGCCACTTGGCTAACATGGTTTTTATATTTTGTCTTCAGTTGTTAAATATTCAGGCAGCTGTTGCCCTATTTCAGCCTCAAAACGGCCTCCAGAAAACACTGAAGTGGTGTTTGTTTATCAAAGATGTCAAATTCCCTTGACCAAATTATGATATTTTTGGATTAATCTGACTACTTGAGGATGTTGGCCCCAGACTAACTGGAAAAAAAAAGTGAATGGAGAATGTGTATGTAACAGACTTTTTAGGATACATTTTTTTACTAAAAAGTGATAGGAAAAGAAATTCTCCCTTTATATTTAGTAATGATACCATGCAGCAAATCTTCTGACTATGATCCCCAAAATCAGAGAAAAGTTATGAAGTAAAAATAACAACATAATTTACTTTTTTTTTTTCTTCCATAACTTACTTTTTCCCCCCTCTACTTTATTTTGAAAATCTGCCCAGATGTTTGCAACATCTTGGAAGTGGTCTTTATCTTTGTCATGGAAACTAGATAAATACATCCAGTTGGCCAAGACCTGAAGCTTTTGTTGTATCTGTGATATCAAAGTGTGTTTGTTTATTTTGTTAAATTTGATTAATGTTGGCAAAGCTTTTGGTATTCTTGGAAGAAACAAGATATAACTTATTTTTATGTGTGAATTTACAACACAGAAAGCTTAAGAATTTTCATTATGAAAGCAGCTATTAAAAGTTTTGGGTGAATCAACACTATCTAGCAGAAAATATGTACTTTGTCAGCACTACTGTTCATAGAGACAAGATGGCTTCAAGTGTATCCTAAATTTCTGTCTTCTCTGACCTAGAAACTATCTCATTGCACTCATTTTCACCGGGTTGTTTACTCCAGCCTTGAAGTGAGGCAGCAGTTATCTAACCACAGGCCACCTAGGAAGAAGATGTTTCCTGATGATGTGTGGTATGAATTGGTTTGGGTTCTATTGCTTTCTTCCTATAAACAGTAAATTCTACCCCAACTATCAGGGGAGTAAAAGCCTCTCTCTCTTTTTCTCTCTTTCAATAATCTTCACGAATATATGAATGAAGGTTGTTAAAGCAGGAGGAACAAGTCTTTCCTTCCAGAGGTACAATTCACCTTGCCTAAACTGATCCACGTGGAAGTTGTCAGCCCAAGTAAACCATTTTGAGTCTCTTTATAAACTCGAGAGAGATGATTGCTTCCAAAAGGGGACTGACAACAATTGTGTATCTCTTTCCACTGAGTAGGAGGTTTGTATGACTATGACAAATTAGATCCAAATATCTAGGATAGTTTATTCAAAGAAGATTAATTTCACCCCTTGTCAACAGAATTGTTATATCTTTTAATATTTAAACATGAAATCTAGGACTGCTGTAAGGGAAAACTGTCAAAGGGGTTCTCATTAAAGGATAATACTGTATGTCTGCTGAAGAACTGCAGAAGATCCTGTTTCTTTTCCAGTAAAACTCCTAATTTAGAAACAAAATTTTGATATATGGCCCAAGGATTTCTCTCTTTCTCTACATATATGGAATAGTATTAGTTCACAGTATCTATCTCAGCCTCTTGGTATTCTTCCAGGGGAACTTACTGTTTGCTCCCTTTCATCTGTCCTTTGATAGCATTGTGATAATACCACCTGCTTACCCTTGCTCACTTGCTACATCATCATTTCATACCTTCTCTTTGTTTTCTTTAACATTCTCTTTTCCACTATTTAACAACTCCTCAGAGCCTCACAAGTGTATCTACTGGGTAAATATCTAGGCATGTGTGTTTTAAAGTGCCATGGAACAAATGTGCTGCAAATCTGTTGGAGCCATAATTAGTTTTGGTTTTAAGCTGATTTTACTTCTAAAATTAGAATAATATTTTTCCTCTGTGGATTGAGATCCTTAAAGAAGGGATTGCAGGTGAAATTTTTGTTCCACTGAGACAAATGATGAGACTATCATTGGCTTTCCTGGGCTTCAGAAGGCTTATATCTTCATAAATGGTCTCTGGAGAAATAAGGCTGTGCACACATGTAAGGAATTGATATCCCAAAATAGCATGCAATAAAACATGGACAAATGGTATTTACATAGAAATGCCATGTCTTGCTGAACTCTTGCAATGACAACAGTGTAACTATGATTCACCAGCAGAAAATAAAGCAGTGATTTGCAGTTGTGAAGGAATACCTGAGAATTACCATTATAAAAAAGGACTGTACTGCACACATAAAAGTAAACCTTCAGCAGGACTCTTTTGTGAAGAATCCAGATCAGGACTTTACAGATATTTTTCTTTCAAACCTTTTGAATTCATTATCTTAAAATAATGGCTGATCTGGGTTTAAGAAGACAAAACCAATCTGCAGAATTAAAATCAGCTCTTATTACTGTGGCCTGATGGAACTACATTCCTTGTTTGCAATCCTCTAAGATATTTTCTATTAGAACAATGTCTCATGAAGACTATGTCATTATCCCTTACTTCTTGAACAATTATGCTATACCCAATTTTCCTTTGAGGTATCAGGTTGCAACTATTTTATATTCAATTACTAAGAATTCTTTTTTCTTTGCTAAAGGCAGTTTTGTTCTTAAGTTGACAATGATTTTTGAACAGTGGTAAAGGCATTAAGGAATACAAGACTTGCAGAAAACCATAATGATTTAGTTTCACAGGTCATGTGTCATTGGAACATGAGACTTGATTTTACTCATACAACAAAAGTTAATTTTCATAGTCTTAAGCTTTGCCAAACTTATTTGGGGAAAGAAGAGGACTGTACAGCTCTTTAAATACTACCTAGACACAAAAGCGTTCTTAAACTGGACAGACTACATTCCACTGATTTAAATTTTGTGTCACTTGAAGTGACAGAATAAAGTCTGCACCTGAGGCCTTGCAGTGAAGCAATTAAAATAAATCCTTTAGTGACCAGGGGGCAATAAAATATATTCAGAAAAAAAAAAAAATCTGTCATAAGCTTTGACTCTAATTAGCAGTTAGAATTCTTGCAGGCCACTTAAATATGTGCCAGTTATACAATTAATTTCTTTTTCTTTACATGATTTGACACTTATTTTGCCAAATGCAATGAATAAATGTAAATTATCAATAAGTATCTTCCTTTCATCGATCCTTCTTTTGAGAAAAAGCCAAACCATTACTTTTAGTTTATTTTTGAATTAGTGGCACACAAAAGTGGTAAGGGACCATGTATTCAATTAAATTACCATGATGGGAAGATAAATATAGAAACTTGGCTTTCTTCTGTGCAGTGGTGAATAAAAAGTCATCATTTTTATTTCGGCTTTTGGCATGAAATGACTTACTGAGTAGATACTTTCATTATATAGAGTATGCAATGTCCCTAACCACCACACCCCCTCTGTACCTGGATGAATTTGGAAACAGTCCTGGAAGTGAAACTATTAAAACTAACAGGCTTCTGTTGCCTTGGGTACAAAACCTCATCTCATTTACACAAAGTGGAAAACTTTTGAGGACATAAATCTTAGTAGAACAAATATGCTGTAAAATCAGTAAAACACAAAAGCATTTTGCTCAGAGAGGTGGTGGATGCTCCATCCCTGGCAAATTTCAAGGTCAGGCTGGACAGGGCTCTGTCCTCATCAAGTGTCCCTTCTTATTGCAGGAAGGTTGGAAAAAATGACATCTAGAGGTCCCTTCCTTCCCAAATTATTCAATGATTCTATGATTTTTACCACTTTATCTCAAAGAGCATTTTTATAGTTAAGTAGATGTTTAAAATAGATATGTTTTTGAAAGGTCCCACACTGGTCATACACACTTACTTTTGATTTTGTTGTGATCAAGATGAAGGTGCTCAAGGTGAGCATTGATTGGTGGAATTTTAGTGAGCTGATTGTGAGACAGCTGTAGGTCTAGAATAGATGAAACGTTAAACCCATTTGGAGGGATACCATCATCAGATAATTTATTGTAGTTCAGCCTAAGGAAAGTCACTTTGGGTATTGCACTGAAATAGTTTTCTGGTATAACTTCGATGGAGTTGTTGTCCAAAAACAGCTGCAGTGTATTAGCTGGAATGCTTAGAGGCATTTTCTTGAGTGAATTTTTTGCTATGTTGAGTTGCATAAGGTTGTTGAGTCCTTGGAAGGTGTCACTTTGAAGAGCGCTGTCCAACAAACTGTTCTGGTGCAGGTCTAACATAGTAAGGTTTTCCAAGTGGCTGAAGACTCCTTCTGGGATTTTGGAGATTTTGTTTTTAGCTAGTCTTAGCTGTTCCAGACCCACTGGTAATGGGGCAGGCACCTCTTCTAATTCGTTGTCTTCAAGGAATAAGTAAAGCAGTCTTTTCAGCTTGCTCAGCACACCACTCTCAATTCCACTGTTTGTGATCTTATTCTTGTTCAGATTTATCCATCTCAGATGAGTGGCATTAACAAAAGGCTTCTCTGAAAGTGTTTCAATTTGGTTGTTTTGAAGATAGAGGTACCAAATTCTTGCTGGAATTGGAGGAATTTCTTTAAGTCCCTTATTATCACAGTATAATGCATTGGGGAAGCTAGGAGGACAAAAGCATTCCTGTGGACACTCAGAAGTATAGTGAGACCAATGCTCAGGATCCAGGTCATCATAAACTTGTCTCACAGATCGAGTCCACACAGAATTGACCAAGAATAAGAGAAAAAGGCTTGTATAGACTTTTAGAATCATGGTGTTGGCCTTGGAAGGGGAAAAAAAAAACCAATTAGCTGTTTCTCAATAAAACTCCCTAGAAGCATACTAGATTAACAAAACAGTCTTGCATATAAAATAATATTTTCTTTATAAACAGCAGATTTTGTCCTCTAGAGTATTATTCATGGCCTGTTAAGGAAAAACTGAAATGTAATATAAGAGGTATAAACAATTCTGTGCTATATGTTGATAAACATTTCCCTGATTCAGCTTAGACTCCACTTTAGCTACCAGCTTAACTGATATTCGTGCAAATATCATTTCAAAGAATATGAAAATATGAATCATTTTTAGAAAATATGGATCATTATTTAAATAAATCAGTGCCTCTTTTAAATTTATGTAAGTTTTCATGTACAGACCTATAATCTACATTATACAATGGTTAATCATCAGAAAAGATATCATTACCACAATGATATAAATACCACTGTACTCAGTGTTCCTTCTTTTAAAGTTAATCATACCCTCTTTTCTGTTTTTGCTCTCTCTTAAATTATAATGGCATCTGGATCAGATTTTCCAGGGTCTTTTGTCTTCATTGAAAAATGGAAGATCAAATAGTGTTTTAACAGCTGTTTGTTGGGCATGCTCTTAAAAGCTTGGAGGGAATATGTTTGACTAATCCATTCCCCGCCTCACTCACACCCTCATATCCAAAGTTACAAATTTCCTTCCCTAAAGCAAGCAGACAAAACAAATGTCTGCTGTAAATGACACAAAATTAAGTCCTAACCAAATTATATCCACAAAAACTAAATCCTAACCAAACTATTCATATACATTTATGCATCTTTTAATATTTTCCTACTTAAATTATTTGCCTTTTTTAGCCTCTTCCACAGTTAAAATATGAACACAATTATCACTGATAATTTACTCAGAAAAGAAATATTTGTATAGCACAAAAACAGTGCCTTAAAACCTCTGTTATTTTTCTTACTGACTCATGAAGATTAACAAGCATTTTGCAATGTAGAGGCTGAGAGACTGATAGCTGAAATTGCTGTTCAAAATTAGGAGATTGGTTTTGGCAAAAATAGTATTTAAATGAAAATTAAATTCTCTCATAGGATTAATGCATCAGTAAGATTAAGAGCTCGGTTCAGTTGCTGCATATGATATGTAGTAATTTAATAGTTTTCAACATTGCTATTTGCAGTAACAAGTGCAGTACCCTATAGCTTTTCCAGCCCCAGAAACTGTTATCTGGAAGCATTCCAAAGAAAGGGACAAATAAAGCATTTCTGAAGAATAACATTGCTGTTTCACACAGTGAATTTGCAACCTTCTTACTCTGTAAATATTCATAACCTTAATAACACATTAAAAGAAAAAGAAATATAAAGCAATTTACCTTGTTAGTCAAGTTCCTGGAGCTATCTGAAGCCAGTTAGAAATCACTGTAAATTCACCACTTTTGACTGCTAACCACTGTGTTTGTTTCCTGTCCTCCTAAGAATTAGCAGCATATAAAACTGGAAGTACATACTAGTATTCCCAGATGTATTTCCATGCACACCTTATTAGCTATTGCTTCTAGTTTGACATTGTTTCAGAGTTTGGGCTTACCTCAGCTTTCTTGGATCTTCTTCTCTTTCTATTGGTCCCTGTTGTTAGACTGTAATAGCTTGAGTCAGGCTACAAGCCGTGTTCTAGGAATACAGCCTCATATATACGCATCAGTGGTTACAGCTTTTAACCCCTGAAACAGCTCAGGCCCCTCAGCACCTAGGCAGGGAAAGAAGGAAATCCTGGCCTGAATATCAGGCAGCCACAGAGCTGAAGGCATGGGATTTTTTATGTTCTATCAGATGAAGGGAGCTGATCTAGATGAAACAGGTAACCCAAAGTGCACGTTTATTCAACATTTTTGTTAGAAGATACGTTACATGCAAAGCTGACTTACATCATAACTCATTCTCATAATACCTGAATTGGCCACAAAGAATTAAAACCAGTGCCATCTGTTTCTACGGAAATATTTTATTTGATTTTTATTAAATGCAGATGCTGTCATGCCATTTAAAGACAAAATTCTTGATTAGGAGAAGAAGAGAGCAAAAGCATTTGCTAAGAATTTTTTAATAACATATTTTCAGTTCTTTATAGATTAAATCTTACCTTTTCCTTTTTGTTCAGAGAGATATTTACATATATTGCTGCAAAGTTATAATATTCCCCAATGCCTCCTGCAATTTTCTTTTATCATTGATCTAAAGCAAACTTTGCAGCCAACTTGCTCTCCAAGGATAGACACATATTTCTCACATTAAGTATTTTGGAAGATTTTTGTTTTCCTTTTTAGTCCAAACTTAAAGGAACAACTTCATATCAGAGAAACTATTCATGTTCAAAGCCAGAATAATGACATAAATATTTTATGGAAAAAGCTAATTAAAAATATTGAAAACATAAAATCCTGATACTTTTAATAGGTTATATTCGTTTTAAAACTTAGCTGTATCGTTATTTTGTTTCATCTGTTTGATTTTAACCATAAAACCCATACCAACCTGTTACTTCTTAAACTCAGAATGACTTAAAAGAAGTTTAGAAGCAGAAAAGACCAAATGTAGTAAAAAAAAAAAAAAAAGCAAACGTTAAACACATGGGTAGTTTTCACTGACTGCAGTAAGGCTAATGGTAAACATATCATAAATTTTTTTCATGAGTCTATGTTTGTATTGCTCTGTTTCTTGTTTATGAAAAAATACATCCTTACCATCATTAATTTTTGCATTGTTTATGTGCTTAAAAACAAAATGAGTGCTTAAGTGTTTCACTCTACTAGAATTCCAGGCCCTTCAACACCTCTTAAAGATTATCAGGAATTTCTTACAAAGCAGGTAAAACTGATTTCTTCATGCATACTAAGTAGAATATTTTAATAATTTAAATTAGATTAAATTAATTTATGTCCATACTCAAAAATAAAGGTTCTAGTTTTGAGCAGATTACTAATTATAGGACAAAAGACATAACCTCCCCCCTCCCATTTTCATTATGAGTGTCACTTTTAACACCTAGAACTTAAAATGTTTATGACTCGGACGTCCTGCAGCAGAGCTGGTACCCCACATTAGTGACAAAGATGATTGTTGGCTTGAGTCCATCCAAGGGAGATGGGGAGAGGCAGAGGCACCACTGTGAGAAATTTAAAATAGTTCTATGTCCAGTTATGAGCCATTTAAGGAGTCTGCACCATGAAAAGTGCATCAATGATTCTTGTAAATAACAAACAGTGAAGTATAAAACTGGTTTGCTTTTGTGCTAGATCTTCACAAAAAGTGTGTGGGGAGATTATGGAGGCCCTGAGGTCTCTTTGCCACTAAAGAATGAGCCGAGCCCATCCTGAATGTTGTACTGAAGGGTCTAAAGCTGAGAGTCCTGATGGCAGATATCTGCTGTGACACACTTAAATGCATGTTGCCAGATGTTTACATTCAGCAACAGCAAAAAAGATAGATTTATCTTACACTTCATGGTGGTCTAAATTTACCTGTTATTTTTACCTGTTAATCATGTCCAGATATAAATTATGTTATCACAAAAGTCCCTGGCAAAAGGACTCGCTGTTTACCTTGAGGCAGGCAGTGGCAGTATTTGTATGAAATACTGTTCAGCAAGGGGTCACATTCTGCCCTATGTGGATTTACAGACCAGGTATTTGATCCCTATCAACATGTTTCCATCCCATTCAAAGGAGGAGCTCTTCACTAGGAGAAGAAAATAGAATACATTTTCTAAGACTTTCTCAATAATGTGAATTTCCATTTATTCTAACGCAAACAAAGCAGACAAAAGCGATAAGAAATCAGGAAGCAAGAGTGTGATGACTGTAGTACATATTATTACATGCTCTCAAAAATTTTTGAAATATTTCTGCAGAGACAAATGATTGCCTGGACACCTAAGCAGACTTTGCAGAAAGTCTGCTTTCCATGCAGCCTTCTAGATTATGCACATATCATGCATTTGTTCTGTTCAGTCTTCCATCATCTGGTGTAAATATTTCTTATGTAAAGGTTGCACTTTAATGTGATAAAGTTTTACAGACTAATAAAAGACCATGGCCAAGAATTTCAAAAGTGACTAATGGTTTGGGAGACGTTTTGCTTTGCATATCCAACCCAAGACTCTTTCCAGAGCCTTATTTTCAGTAAACGACAGCTAGAAATTTTGTGTTAATGAGGTAATTTTTAACTTGAGACACTGAGTGATCAACGGCAAATATCAGTGAAACACAAAGTGCTTCTGAGACCATTAACAATCTCCCAAAAAGTAGTAGTATTAAAGATATTTGCACAACAATAAAAGGAATTGGAAAAAAAATAATATAGTAAAAATACTGAGGATACAGTCCTGAATTTTGGAGATCGTTTCTAAGAGATACTGTTGGGATTGTTCTAGTTTGAGAAAGATGTCTGAAGCTATTACAGAATTTTTACTCCATGTGTCTCCTTTCAATCCACACTGTTAAGAGAATTTGTATTAAAAAAATGTATAAAAAAGCAAAGAGCATCGACAACTGCAGGGTATAGTAACATCTCGAGAGAAGTAATGTACATTCTTGAAACTAAAACAGCTCACAACCTTGGTAAAGAATAGAAGAGTAAAAAAGATAGACTGGAAAGACCCACTGGGAGGAGAAATGGACAACTGGGAGTGCTGTTTGGAGCTGTTGTTCTGTTTTAGCATCGGAGTTGCTGACAGTGAAAAAATGCATTGCTTTCTTTCAGTAATGGCTGCCATATGTCTCAGATTGAATTTGAAGCAAGGTCTGTTAAGCATCAAGCATGTGTATAGCTCATCATCAGCAAACCCAGGAGTATACTGCAAGCAGAGCTTATTCATTAGCCCTGTGGATTGCTCCATTTAGCAAAGGCTGCAATCCAGGGTGCCTCAATTTGGGCAGTACTTTACTAAAAACTATGTGCCTTGCTCCACAGTCAGTTCATCTGAAACAGGCTCTTGAATTATCTTCATGATTACTAGAGAAAAGGTGTCACTTCAAAAGCTGAAGACAGTAAGCCCAGTTTATGTATTATTCATGCTATACTCCAATGGTAGCTTCAGACATCTTCATGGGGGTGCTGACTTTTATTTAGGGTTCAGTTCTGCCTCTATCACTTCTGATGACAGGCATGATCTCTTTCTGCCTTGCTGCTCAGAGTTTTACCCAGAGTCAAAAAGACAAAACTTCTATTTCCAAACAGTTCCCTGACCACCAGACAGTGATATATCTCAATTAATAATATCTGCTGCTCCTTTTAAAAACCAGCAACAAAAGGTCAGCAAGATCAAAGAGTCTAAAAGAAAGCAGATGACTGAGCCCTTCAGGCTAGCCCAAGGGACACTGTAGACAGATCAAAGGACCAGCCCAGATGTTCCAAACCCTGCTCCTATGGATGTATTTTAGTCTACATCATTCCTAGTGAACAGGAGAAATTAAAACAAAACAGACTTAGGAGCAGGAATTCTGTACCTCTTCTAGAAGTCTAGAATTACCTGCTTAAACCTCTCAGTGGAAGAAATTGCATTTCTTATTTAAATAGGCATTTTTTTGTGCATATGCAGGCAGCTGAAGTATAGGGAGCTCACATGGGGAACTTTCAGTTTAAATCAGAATACACTGCTTAAAGAAACCCTGGGAAAAAGTTTGACTGGCTTAATTTGTTAAATAGAGATGTCTCCTGACCTCTTGTTTATACAGGATTTAGGAAGACAAGATCCCACTCTAAAAGTCCAGAAACAAAACTCTAGCAGTTTACTTTCTGCACAACTTCACTCCCTTATCAAAACTACAGTGGGAACTGAGTAGCTTAGCTGAAAGAGATCATTGCAGAGCAACACATGTCAGAAAAGAACAACTATGGAAAAGGGCTCAGCTTTTATGGGAAATATATTGGCCTCCTGAATATGCTTCATTAAATAATTTTTTGGCACTATGTTCCCTTTCTCTCTGTTTTGAACTCTTTACACAGCAACACCAAAAAGGTTCCATAACACAATGCCAAGATCTGGTATTTATCTTGGCTTGCTAGGTTTACTTTACCTACTATGTAAGTCTTGCTGTCAATCTCTTAATTTACTTTGTTTTCATGCTTTCAACGATCTCAACACTGAGACAAATCTATCCTACCCTGGGACTTGATTTTTAAAATGCTAAATGTATCTTAAATTAAAATATCTAACATGCATTTATCAATTGCACACATATATTGAGTTGCTGGGACCACGTGTAGCTATTTAGATGATTTATATTTTCTAGACAACTAATGTTAATGAAAACATGTATCAATGATCTGATGCCCATTCTGTGAACCTGCAGTTCTTAACCATGGACCATCAAGGATTAAATATTCTGGAATAACACATGAGTAGTGAAAACAAACTGGTTTTACTATCCTTTTATTATATCCTTATCCTTATTTTGTGTTAACTTCTGTTTTCTTATTTTCTTCTGTTGTTAAAGAAGTTCAAAAATACTTTAATTCACCTTCATTTTAGATCCCCACTGTAAGACATTGGATTTCAAGAAGTTTAAACTTATAAAAAGTTCGGTCCTCTAAAATGAATGACAAGGGTTGCATGAAAAAGAACTCCCACAACTTAATGAAAAAAAATATTTTATTCCCTTTTTAGTAATGATCTGCTAGAGTGATTTTGTCACATGAGAAATTCAAGGTTTGGAGGTTTTTTAATATTTAGAAATAAAAGCCAAATGGCATAAGCTATATGAAAACTCATTTCTTATTTTCCATTAATTGTAGTAATTTTTGTTCTTATTTTTAATGCAGATACTCTTGGGAAATACTGAAATTAAACATTAGATTATGTGATTTTTATTTTCTTAAATTACGATATCAGTCATCACTTTCAAGAGCTGGTATTTCCCAAAGCACTTGAGTTTTCTTCCAGAGTCCCAACTTCAAGCTCAAATCTCACTCACCATGACTTCTCCAGTCACTGATTATCCTTTCAGATGGAACATGTTGAAACTAAGTCTTTATAGTGTAGATGAAATTCCTCAACATCCAGCACTTTGATGCAAACTGATTTCTTTGAAGATAGCTCTGGAACCCAGCTCCAGGGAGAATTCATCACCCATCCCTGTCCAAGCACCATGCAGTGCTCCAGAGCCCTACATAATGACCTAAATAACCCTAAATAATCTAAGAGATATTATTCAA